GCAATGTGTGTTTGCAATACAGACTATTTTCTATGCCTTATTTATATTGTTTTGGCAAATGCATTTCTTGTAATTGTTCATTAAAAGGAATCTTATTTTGTGATATAAACAAACCAAACATCTATACGAATTAGAACTGTTTCATTTTGCTTAGTTTCGTGTGCAAAATCTAGAAAAATGGGTGTGTTATTGTAAGCGGATAAAAACGCTGCATTAATGTATGGCACTTAAAAATATTAACGAACGTGTTTACAAAAACTTATTTTTCTATATTTTTCTGTACAAAACCATCAAAATTACAGTATAATCTATCGGTTAAGTTAATCATTTTAACAATTTTTTTCATTGTTACATGTATGTTTTTGATTCCGCCTTAATCATAAGAACTTTTCCCGATTAATCTCGTTATTCATTTTGACTGGATTGCCCCAGCAATCACACGTTTTATTTCAACGTAAAATTGCGTTATATTATCATTTGCTTTATTTTAACATCAGGAATAGTACTATATTGTTATCTAAATGTAATTCTACACGCAAGCAGGGTTTTCTCTTAAATCCATAGAAGTTAATATAAGTTGTGATAAATTAGTTTTGATTTAGATCATTTTTTTCTTCGAAGTTCCTTTGAAAAATACGTTTATGATTTAATTTTAATATTTCAATCTTCATACCTTTTACCTAATATATCGAATCTAATGATTAATTTTTCTTCAATGTCATGCCCTCTCTTGATGTGAGATAACAGAACGATATTTCTGGGCTGTCGTGCTCAATCAATTTATTAATAAATCATTTCTAAATATGAACGTTTATAATACGTTTCTATTGATTTGTTTTAAATAATTTACAATCAGGTAGTCATAGTCAATTACAATACAAAAAACTTGTAGCAAATTTAAACACTTTTGGTGCTTTCCTGTAGCAAATCGAGATATATTTTGAACTGAAAAAAATGATATACCCTATTGCTGTATGTTTCGTTGTTAAAGGACAATAAATATATTTTTTCTTCTTTTTTTTGTTGAAACTCTTATTTTTTTCCTCTCGGCACATTTTAATGACTGACAACAAAGTAAGTCTGTACATGTGTTGTAATTATAGATAGACAGTTTATTAAGCAAAAGGTTACAACCAATGAGTTTACACAGTACACAACTCTTATACAATCTGCAAAACAATAAGCCAATGGTGGCTGTGCAAACATCAGAAAAATGACAAATGAAATATGTTACAATTTTTACATACATATATGCAAATCACATAGAAAACAGAGGAAAACTGACATTGTCACTGCTGACATGGTAAGGAGAAATGTTAGGTTTGAAATGACATCTGATTTCTCCATTCGAAATATTTAAATACAAAAAGTGCTTATTGTATATAAAAAGTGTATATTTACTTTCTGTTTACATGAGTTCAATAAATTTCAATATATTAAGATATTTCCAAAAATATTTGTCAATCTATATTATTTTTAAGTTTTATATACACTACACTCCACTAAAAAATGAAACTCGTCTTTAAGAGTTTTGCATACATAACATTTTGTTTCATTTCTAGGTATTTTATTTTGTTTGTGCCATCGGCCTGTTTCAATTGCTAATCTGCTTGCTGACAATCGGAATCTTGTTAATGCAATTCGAAATTTAAACGCATCTATCTTGTTTAAGTATTCTTTAAAAACAAAATCTGATAATAACATGTAAAAAGATGCCCGTGTTTAGTAAATGATACCATACATGAAAGTCTGCAAGAAAATTTTGATAGTTTGAAATGATTCTGGCATTGTAAGTATATCCCGGTTTATTCTGATTGCTGTTTTTGTTACTTTTCTATTTATTTTGTTTCAATAGAAGTGTTGAAATTCACATGAGAAAAGTCACAAAGATGTTCATGAAGTGAACAATTCCTTCTTCTTTAACAACTATCTCTACCTGGAAATAAAGCACATAAAATAATTACAAAAATCTGGAAAAAGAGTGATCTCTCGAAGGCATTACTCAAAATTAAATTACAAAAACGTTGCGGACTCGGTTTGTTTGAGTCTGTACATGTGAGATAATGAAAAAGTGCAACATCCCTTATGTACCCCGTCATTGGTTTCAGCGGTAATCAATTTTCAACAATTAAAATTCCAAACGACTAAAAAGATAACAATACTAAAGTAAAGTACGGGGCACTTGGCTGCAAGTTGAAGATTTACGTATTATAAAACATAATATAAAGAGACTCAACTATGGGCTTTGACATGATTTTTCGAGATGTTTACACTTATTGATCTGTACCAAAAACTTATGTTCATTCATTCCCTCAGGGTTTTTTTCAGAATTATTGAATGAACAGCGTTTTAGCGTGTTTACCTATAACAGTATTAGTTATAAAGATTTTTGACATGTAGCCTGACATGAATATTTATATCGAATTTATAATAAAGCAAGTTTTTTTTTGAAAAAAAGGGAGATGTCTTAGAAAATTGACAGTAGCCGTGTATATTATTAAGTATAAAGATTGTTGACAGGTTATATGGCCCTATATAAACGGCGTTTGTAAATATAACCCGAGCCGCCATATTGCAAACAACCGTTAATATTCGGCCATATAACCTGCCAGGAATATTTATAACGAATGTATAATACTGCAAACTTCCTTTTTAGCGAAAACAGATGTGATTTCTTTATAAATTGACAGTAGCCGTGTATATAATACTATATAAACGTGAAGATTATCCAATGAAAAGTGACGTTTTAAACGTGCAGTATTTAAAAAAAAACTTTATAATACTGCAAGATTGCAACGTCATTGGTTTTCATTTGTTTATCGTATATGACATTTTAAACTTGATATTGAGTTGACTTATTAATATTGAGTTATTCAGATCTGGGCGTTACACTACACTATCCAATGAAAAGTGACGTTACAAACATGCATTATTACATATAAATTGATACATGCTTGTAAATTTGCTAAATAATATATGTTTAAACTAACATGTGCATGTGCCAGCTGCTGCTTTTGGCATTTTTGTTGTTCTTTATTGTCCCCCGCCTTTTCGAAGAAAAAAGGGGGATATAGAAATAGGCTCCGTCCGTCTGTCCGTCTGTCCGTCTGTCCGTCCGTCCGTCCGTCTGTCCGTCCGTCACACTTTCGTGTCCGGTCCATAACTTTGTCATTTATGAAAGGAATTTGAAATAACTTGGCACAAATGTTTATTATAATAAGACGATGTGTCATGCGCAACAACCAGACCCCTACCTCCAGGGTCAAGGTCACACTTGCTCATTCAAGGTCAAAATTGCCTATTTGAGGGTATATGTCGTGTCCGGTCCATAACTTTCTTATCTATGAAGGGATTTTGTAAATACTTGCCATAATTGTTCACAATAATCAGACGATGTGTCATGCGCAAAAACCAGTCACCTACCTTCAAGGTCAAGGTCACACTTGGAGGTCAAATATTAACATAGTCTGTTACAGGGTATATTTCGTGTCCGGTCCATAACTTTCTTATCTATGAAGGGATTTTGTAAATACTTGCCATAATTGTTCACAATTATCAGACAGTGTGTCATGCGGAAAAAGCAGTCGCCTACCTTCAAGGTCAAGGTCACACTTGGAGGTCAAATATTAACATAGTCTGTTACAGGGTATATTTCGTGTCCGGTCCATAACTTTCTTATCTATGAAGGGTTTTTGTAAATACTTGCCATAATTGTTCATAATAATCAGACGATGTGTCATGCGCAAAAACCAGTTGCCTACCTTCAACCTCAAGGTCACACTTGGAGGTCAAATATTAACATAGTCTGTTACAGGGTATATTTTGTGTCCGGTCCATAACTTTGTCATTTATCAAAGGAATTTGAGATAACTTGGCACAAATGTTTGTTATAATAAGACGATGTGTCATGCGCAACAACCAGACCCGTACCTTCAGGGTCAAGGTCGTACTTGTTCATTCAAGGTCAACATTGTCTATTTGAGGGTATATGTCGTGTCCAGTCCATAACTTTCTTATCTATGAAGGACTTTTGTAAATACTTGCCATAATTGTTAACAATAATCAGATGATGTGTCATGCGCAAAAACCGGTCACCTACCTCCAAGGTCAAGGTCACACTTGGAGGTCAAATACTTACATAGTCTGTTACAGGGTATATTTTGTGTCAGGTCTATAATTTTTTCATAGATCAAAGGATTGTGAAAATACTTCGCACAAATAGTCACTATAATAAGAGGATGTGTCATGCGCAACACCTGCATCCCTACCTCCAAGGTCAAGGTCACACTTAGAGGTCAAATATTAACATAGTCTGTTATAGGGTATATTTTGTGTTGAATCTAGAACTTCTTCATAGTTCAAGGGATTTTGAAATAACTTGGCACAAATAGTCACAATAATAAGACGTTATGTCATGCACAACACCTGCTCCCCTTTCCCAAGGTCAAGTTCACACTTAGAGGTCAAAGCTTAACATGATAGATTTTTAAATTCCGTGTTTCATTTTATTTTTTTAACAAATTTATTGTTACATTTGCAGATCTAGCATTGATCATAATTTTGGACTGAATGTCGTCAATGTTGAATCACTTTATCCATACCTCAATCTTTTGAAATAGCACAACTTTATGCTTCATATAAAACTCCCGGGGCGGGGGACGTTGGTAACTCTGTTACAAATTCTTGTTATTATTGTGTTTGTATGTCATTACTAGAGAGGTTTATGGTTTAAAAACATGTTTAGAAACTTTGTAAACTTGTACATTTGGAGGCAGGCTCATTTTGCACAGAAAAATAATGTATGACCCTTAGGTATTAAATTTTTTTTCAAAGTTCTGTCTCAAATCTCAGGATTTCCATTAATCAAACTGTGTCTGACCATTCAAATACTCGAGATCTGAATTTGAGCAACGAGAATTTCTTTATAATGGACCCTGCTTTAATTCCCACCCATAAAGAAATGACATAAAACAACACTATTGATGCATACAACAGATAAAATTTAGTTTTGATATGGAGGCACAGTACATTTTATATATGACAAAGATGGGATACATTTTGTATTATATTTCAGGACATGACAAGGAATGCAAAAAAACGTATTGTAATAGCATCATTATATCTTGGAACAGATCGTCTAGAAAATGAATTGGTAAGCTTGAAATCTTGATGTTGTCTTGCATATCAGACTGGCAGTATTGTACAGAAGATCAAAATCTTATCTTACACCCTAGGTGCTTTAAAGGAAAGCATTTGAATAGTTTGCATTCTAATGGAGAAGAGATTCTGCCATTAGTTTAAACAAATTTAATTTGATAATGTTAAAAGCTATAAGTGAATTGCAAAGTTTATTGCTCACAGAAACAAGGACTTTCCCCTGATGAGGTTTTTAACCTACACAGCCAGCACATCCTTAGATTACTAGTCAGGAGTGTTTACCACACAGCCATGTTGCCACTCTCTGCCATATGTCTTAAATTTTAAGTAATTACTTCTTTTAATTAATGATATCTTCCATATTTGGTAGATGAATACTGTAAAACCTGTCATTAATCATACATAACTTGTTAACTATTACTTGAAGTTGAATTTCGAATCTTTTGACTTTTCATTAAAACATTTTTTCTCAAGTTTAATTTCTTGAAATATTTTGGCTCATCTGGAGGCACAAACCTTTAAAAGAAATGTGTGGATAGCATGTGTTCAAGATAGTGTTAAATCTTAACATAAGATAGTGTTAAATCTTAACATTTATATCAATATAATTATAATTCTAATTCTGTAAAGATTTGGTGAATTTAACACTCATTTTCAAATATGTTTGAATGCATAAAGATATTTAATTCTACAGATAAAGAGTATTGAGTCAGCATGTGAGAGAGCAGTACAAAACAATAATGACAGTTTTGAAGTTCATGTTCTATTAGATTACACAAGAGGATCAAGGGGAGTTAACAAAAGCTCTAGAACAATGTTACTGCCCCTGCTGGAGAAATACCGAGACAAAGTACAGGTGTATTTGTACCATACACCAGATTTAAGGGGATTCTGGAAGAAATTTTTACCTGAGAGGATGAACGAGATTGTTGGTTTGAATCACATGAAGATTTACCTGGCTGACAATGATTTTATTATTAGTGGGTAAGTTTGAGATAAATTTATTTAATTAACAGTTGACTGTTAATTTCATCCAATACTCAACAAATTTAGCTGTAACGTTTTTTACAGATCATGGGAATGATGTATTCTACATTAAAAACTGTCTGATAAATTAATCTGAATCAGTATCTAGTAATAAATTTTGAAGTCTTCTTAAATATACACTTGAGTGGTAGCCAAGTTTAAATTTACAAGAATTAAAATGTCAATATGATTTTGCATGACCTTGTTGTTTATATTGATATTTCAGTGCAAATCTAAGTGATTCTTATTTCACTAATCGTCAAGATAGATATATCCAGTTTAGATCATGTCCAGAAATGTCAAACTATCTGTGTGATCTTGTGTGTGCTGTATCACGTTTCTCATTCCATCTACAGTGCAATAATACCACAGTTTATCCTGAAGGAGCACCACATCCATATGATGGTAAGGGACGTTATATTGTATTATCTTTAGTCCTTCAATACCTTATTGATTACCTCATTCTTTTAGCAGGAAATGAACTAAATGATAGGTATTGTTATGACATACTCTTCAACATTCATATTGGTTGATTTTTTAGGGCAAGTTTCTGTTTATAGTATTTACTTCATTAAAACAATACTAACAAAGCTATTAAATCAAAGTTTCATATGAAAGTGCACTTAGAAATAAAGGTCCATCTACTCACTAAACCACATGAGCTATTCTCTTGGTATACTTGTTCATTTCCAATATGTAAGGGCAGATTAATCTAAAATCATGAGATATCCTTTTTTGGACTTACATTTTATACTGTGGATAACTTTTTTGTTAAGGTTTATATCTCAAAAAACTCTAAAAATATTTACTGTGAACTAAGAGTACTTGTTCTCTTTAAAAATTGGAGTGCATTCCTAAAAGGCAGAAATTAAAAACCTTAAGGTTATTTTTGCAATATCTCCCTTTTATGTCTCTATATTTGTAATTTTCTCAAAAATCACAGATATTCAATTCATATTTTATATACTTGTATCAAGGGCATGTAATACTATCACTTCTGTTTATGCCCTGGAAGGGCGGCATATAGTTATTGTCCTGTCCAGATGTCGGTCTATCCATCCATCCAGTAATCTTGTCCGCAATTCATCTCCAAAACCGCTTTGGGAGATTTCAGTGAAACTTCACAGGAATATTTGTCACCATGCCTAGTTGTGCATAATGTCTTGATTTTCTGCTTTAATTTTTTTGGCCCCTGTATGGTCAATTTTCAAGTAAAATAAGCTTGAACTCGCTTCATGACCAAAACCACTGAAACTTCACAGGATTGTTTGTCACCATGCCTGGTTGAGCATACTCTCTTGATCTTCCGCTTAAATTATGTTGGCACAGTTATGGCCCCTTAATTGTCAATTTTCGAGTAAAATGAGCTTGTCCACGCTTCGTCACCAAAACCGCTGGGGGGGGATTTCAGTGAAACTTCACAGGATTGTTTGTCACCAAGCCTAATTGTACATTCTCTCTTGATATTTGCTTAATTTTTTTCCACAAATATAAATTGCCCAGTAGTGGTCTATTTTTTGAGTAAAATAATCTTGTCCATGCTTCATTTCCAAAAACCGCTGGGTGATTTCTGTGAAACTTTAGGATTTTTTGTTACCATGCCTAGTTGTGCATAGTATCTTGATTTTTCAGTTGATTTTTTTTTTATTTTTGCCACATATTTAAGCTTTTGTTTTTAATAATGCCCCATTTTTATACTTTACTTTCATCATTCTATAAACCACTGAGAAAAGTGAAGCACACTGCTCCTATAACAGCTCTTGTTTAATTAAAATCTTTATATTATTGTTTATACCATAGTAGTATCGACCAAGAAGTGAACTGACAATATTGAATATTTTAAAAGATATTGCTGTATAATAATGACCATCCTTAAAAGTTAAAACTTACTATGGTTGAAATGAGTAATAGTCATTTTTTATATTTTCTGTTCCAGTAAGTATGTTGTAGAATTTATTTTCTAATTAGTTGCATCTAAAGACCATCATACAGAATATATATTGTGGTATGAAATTATTAATCACATATATGTACTATTACCCTTTCAAACAATTATTTATTTATTTATTTGAGAAAATTATATTTTTTCTAGGTTCAGAGGATGTACAAGTGTTTAAAGACTATGCTGAAGATACCATTTCAAAATTAAACTCTTTCTGGAAAGAATCAAGGGCCTCAACTCAACTTAATTCAAATGACAGCGATGTAGATACATGGTTATATCCTTTGATACAGATGGGATCATTTAAAATAAAAGATGATGAAGTAGTGACTGAACGACTGTTTACAAAATCTGAAACCTGTGATAGAATACTGTTAGCCTCAGGATATTTTAATTTAACTAGTAATTATGTAGATTATGTGATAAACAAATCAAATGCAGTGTTTAGGATCCTCACAGCATCTCCTGAGGTAAGCTGATTTGATAACTAGCCACTTTATACCTGTACACATTAACCTTATATGTATGTTTTTCAAATATGTTGTTTGAGTATTAAGTTGCCAGTTTGGCAGTATTTCTAACATTCTTAGTATCATATTTACTTACTCTCTCTTGTAGTACCTTCATTATTGACTGGAATCTTAAATATTAAACATTTCAGTGTGATTAGATCAATGTTATTGAAACTTTATCTTAATATATAGATGTTCTTATTTTTCCTCATAGAATGGTCATGTTTTTATGCTCCCCGAAAAATTTCGGGGGAGCATATAGTCGGCGCCTTGTCCGTCTGTCCGTCTGTCCGTCCGTCCGTTTTCTTGTCCGGAGCATAACTTGAAAACCCTTGGAGATAATTTGTTTAAACTTCATACAGTGGTAGAGGGCATTGAGGGGGAGTGCAGTGTCAAAGAACCATAACTCTATTTTGCCCTGTTTTTGAATTATCTCCCCTTATAGAATTATCTTGTCCGAGGCATAACTCTAAAACTATAAGAGCTTTCAACATGAAACTTTGTAGGTGAATAGATCTCAATGGGTAGATGTGCAGTGCATAAGACCAATAACTCTTTTTGTCCTAATTTTGGAGTTATTGCCCTTTGTTAATTTCAACACTTTGAACTTTGTCCGGAACATAACTCTAAAACTATAAGAGATATCAAGATGAAACATTGTAGGTAGATAGATCTCATTGAGTAGAAGTGCAGTGCAAAAGAACCATAACTCTGTTAAGCCTCATTTTTGAATTATCTCCCCTATTAGAAAAATCTTGTACTGGACATAACTCTAAAACTATAAGAGATATCAACATGAAACTTTGTAGGTGAATAGATCTCAATGGGTAGATGTGCAGTGCATAAGAACAATAACTCTTTTTGTCCTAATTTTGGAGTTATTGCCCTTTGTTAATTTTAACACTGAACTTTGTCCGGAACATAACTCTAAAATTATAAGAGATATCAAGATGAAACATTGTAGGTAGATAGATCTCATTGAGTAGAAGTGCAGTGCAAAAAAACCATAACTCTGTTAAGCCTCATTTTTGAATTATCTCCCCTTTTAGAAAAATCTTGTACTGGACATAGCTGTAAAACTATAAGAGATATCAACATTAAACTATGTAGGTAGATGTATCTCAATGGGTTGATGTGCAGTGCATGAGAATCATAACTCTGCCTTGCCTAATTCTGGAGTTATTGCCATTTGTTTATTTTTACTTTTTGAATTTGTCCGGAACATAACTCGGAAACCATAAGAGATATCAACAAGAAACTTTGTAAGTTGATAGATAACAGTGATTAGAAGTGCAGTGGAAAGAACAGTAACACTGCCTTTCCTAATTTTGGAATTATTGCACTTTGAACTTTTTCCAGGGACATAACTCTGAAACTACAAGAGGTGTACTTTCCTGTGTCCAAAACCTATTCGGGGAGCATCACCCGGCTCAAACCGGGCTCTTGTTTATCTTTGTCTAAGCATTATAAGGAAACTGATGTTTCTGTCTACTGATTTATTATGTACTGATTGATTTATTCTGTTGATTAAAAGTGTACATTTGGTCAGGGTTTAGCTGGTCAGTGTTTAGCCAACAATAATCTGTAACTGATGTTAGTATTAATCCATGAAGTTTACATTGATTTAAATTTGATGCCATTTGCAATGAAGAAAAAAAGGTCATCAATAGACAACCCTGTATTTTATCTGAATGCATGCTGACTTATTGTGTGGGATATGACCCGAACAGAAAATAGCAACTTAATTCTTAAGCAGATAAGTTTTGTAATCATTGCTGAGTACAACAAAATACAAAGCAAAATGTCATGTTATGTAATTAATAAACAAAATTAATGTTTAAAATCTTAAAAATACTTAGAGTATGGTCGGTTAAATGATTAACAAGGTTATTAGGTCAATGTTAAACAAAGAGTATTTTTGCTTACTCAGACACACTGCATTAATTATGTAAAATTATTTCCAAAAGGGAATGATATCATGATTTAAAAAGGTCATTGGAGTTAGTGTGGTAAATATCCTTACTGATAGCAACACTAGTCTGAAGCCTATACACACTCGACTCTTAAATTTATTCTGAGAATATTGAATTTAGATTCCGCATTAAATAGACAGTGTTTTTGTCTTAATTTTGATTACCAAGTCAGGACTGTTACTTGCCTTCTATTCAATTTTAGAAATAGAGGAAATGCTTCTAGATATTGAGATTTTAATATCCATTTAGTGATACCTATGTTAATAGATCTAAGATGGTGAAGAATAATATATTGTATAGCATTATTAAATGCAGTTTATTCTAGTATTATATTTGTTATATCAGAGACATAAGACACAAACATGGTATGTCGTGATCAAGCTCGGTGTAAATAACCTCCTTGGTTATAGTTCACATGCTAAATAACCATGTAGTAGTAACGATATCTATGTTCAACGGAAAACATTGACACACAATTGTGAGAGAGAAATGCGCATCTAGCCTAACTAAGATTACATATAAACTAGGACTGGACACACTTAGTACAATCGTAAAAAGGGTCATGTGGTACTCATGATTTATCACAACAATTCTAATTTATACTCATAGTTCTCACCAGTTCGATGTTGTTCGAACAAAATTAGGATATAATATAACGCAGCTTGTCTGCGCTCTTTACTGTATATAGAAAATGACCGGGTTTGAATAATAATGCGTACACTTCAAGTTTATAAGAGGTTAATACAAAAGTAGAAAACAATTTATACTCAGAATACGGGAGAGTAAAGATTAAGTACATGTGGAGATAGCATAGTATGGTTTGACTATATTCTTTTTATTACTGATTATTTATTGTAGAATGATTGAATGAATTCCTTTCATTTATTCATCATGAGAGTTTCATATTTGTTATACTACAGTATGTTGTTTTATAAATTATCCACTTCATACCTTTATGACGATGCTGTTATAAAATGATGAATGATTAGCAATAAGTACTGAATTCACCAATTTAAATAGTTCCACATCTTTGTATCATACAAATATTGAAATAATTACTGATGATTTTATTAACATGTATGTATTATAACTTTTTGGTTTTATTTAAATGTAGGTTACAGATCTATATATCGAGATTTTAGAATGTCAAGTAGCTGTTTTAACTACAAATACCTCATTACAAAACCAGCTTAAACAGGTATGTTGATGAATTTTCACTAGTTTCAAAAATATGTTTCTTCAACAATATTACTAGTTAAAAGGCAGGGAAAAAAATTGGTTATATTGTTTATGTAACTGGTTGTCTGTCCATCTGTATGTCTGTCTGTTAGCATTTTCATGTCTGATCTGTAGGTTTTAAACCAATAGAGGAATTGAAACTACTCAGCAGAATGTTAACCATAAAGAGACAACTTGCAGTGTGCAGGTTTGACCTTTCATCCCGTCAAGGTCACACTTAGTCATTTGGAAATTTGTCCAATCTGTATCTTTTGAAGAAATTAAAGAAAAATTAAAACTATTTGAGCAGAAAGTTACTTATAACAAAATGATGTGCAGAAGCCAGGACTTGGGTTCTTCAGATTAAAATTGCCTAGAAAATGCCTAGATCTCATGATTTATAGAGACTTGTATAGGGAAAAAACATTTTTGTTTATCTTTTTGCATTTAGACCTTGTGAAATAGTCATTATAAGTATGACATCATGTAGATCTATAATCATTATCTATATAAACGCAAATAGTTGCCTTATCGTGTTAATTGTTTTGGACCTTTCACATAAGCCAATCACTTAATTATTTAGACTTGTCTTATTAGAGATGGCGTATCATTAAGTCCCATTGAAATGAGTTGTAATAATTTATGGATAGCCGTTCCGAAACTGACAATAGCCAAGAAGTTTGTCAGCTATAATATGAGTAAAATGAATTTTATCAATACCTTTAAAAATGTGAAAAATTAAAATGCGATCAAAACAATCTAATGCGCAGGAACTTAAGCGCGTAATTCAGCATCTGGAATTATTATTATCAGATATCCTTTTAACGTAATTTAATGGCACTGACTACACATGCAACCTACGCATATTTGGCGATACTCGCACAATTTCTTACCATACTACATTTTAGATCGTGAAATATTTAATATAGTGCGTTGAAACTTACATGTACTACGTAAGTTAGAGCTTTATATCAGCTTGTCAAAAACTGTGATCCAGTATTAAATCATCATTGATTAACGTGTAATATCTCTTAATAAGGGGAGATAATTACTATGTGTGTGAGCTGCACTCTTAAAGAGCTAGAACGATAATTTGTTCTCATAAGCGTGATTATAAATTATGTCATACTTTTAAGTCAATATCGATTTATATGCACTGCACTTACTACTCCTCTAGTGTTAGAGCAATTAGAATTTATGTATATTTCATTATAACTTCTTATCATAGAATACTTTTTACATATTCTGAAGGATAACCATAACATTGTAGTCTTATTGTTGTGAATGAATTGTAATTGATTTGGGTGGTCATTAGTTTTGTCTTAACAGACCCTCTATAGTTTATATGATAGTCATTAACAAAATTCATAGGAGAAGTATAAATTGGGTTAATAGTTTTATCATAGCTAATTAGAATAAAATTTAGGTATGATATAGTGAGAAATGGTAAGTCTTACGATATTTATTGGATCTTAATTCGTACATGTAATGCAACGTGACTCATACTCGGTGTACTACCCACTACATAGATATATATTATATTGCTGTATCCGTATAGAATTATATCGCTCTTATGTATAACATGCGCTGTGGAAATCTAAGTATTTCTGCTTTCGCTAAAATTGAACTTTTGAGGGTAATATTCAAATTATATTAAGAGATAATAATATCTTTATGACTACAATGTGTATCCAACAGATTATAATAATGATTTATAGATATTTATTTCTCATCCAGTGAGGACATGAGGAGAGCATATGATTTAATCATCAAAAAAAGATGCACAGCATGAGGACTCTATATTCAGACAAGTCTCACAGTGGATTTCGATACTTCGATCTAGTCGGGATCTATCATTAGCTACACTCATAGAGGGATTCTTATTCTTTAACATAATACCTCGTTATGCTGTAGCAAATAAGAGTGTACACTTAGGAACTTTATACTGTCTACAATTTCATACTACAGTTAGTTTAGATGACTGCTCTAATCTTGTTATTACGGACAAAGTTCAAAGTGATATGAAATTAACAAGAGAATGGCGCCATTGAGACTCATAACATTTATATTTTAAGACGTCGACAAAACTAAAGAGATCTTTCTTGAAAAATATGGGAGTGCTATCTAGCTACACTCGTCGAGGCCGTTAGTCGTCGGCGATTCCGCACCTTGATGCGGACTGTTAGAGTATGCTCACAACTTGGTTAAGTTTTTTCCGGTTAAACCAACCAACGCCTACTTTAATATAATATTGTTCTAGAGTATATACGCAGTCTTGAGCTATTGTAAACTTCTTTAGTAGCTTTGTTATCAGCCACAATATTCGAGCTCCATCTACAGACAAAACAGTACATAACATCTCGTCACGGTTCTTTAGACAGAAATACAGGCACATAGTAGTTATTAGACATATTAAAGATCTAGTAGTAAGGAGTTGAGGATAGCTTCAGAAAACTAAGGGCTAAATATTTATTAGCCAGTATATCGGTACTTTTTATATTAAAAACCATAACTGGAGCTTTGACAAAAACTCCCTGCCTACCACAATACGCCTCTTAGTTATTACCCATCAGAACTTGCTCATGAATCCTATATCAGACAAAGACCATGGAAATATTGCCAAGGGTTATTATACGTGAATTACAATGCGTTTTCTCCGAGACCAGATGATTGCACCCTTATAGCTGGAACGTATAGCAAGATGAACATTGATAAGACATGATAGGCTAGAAGAAGTCCAAATATAGAGTGCGGTCTAAGCCACTCTTATGATGAATATTGCCTTTGCAAAACTTTCGAAATTGCTATTTTCGAGGATGAGTAACGCCCCATAAAAAATCGCTACAGTGCCAGAATGAAGGTCTAACTCTGTGCAAGGATGTAGTTTTAAAATATTAGAGGAGCATTATTCTATCGAGATCTTTATGAAAATCATGGTTTAAGTAGATATCTCTAGTTACCCATGGATTCTACCACATTTTAATATTTGACTGAACATGTGATATTTAGTTTTGTAAAGTTGTATTAACTTGGTTTACAAGTCATGATTCCAGTCTCACAATACATGATTCGCAAGGAGAAGTGTTCTAACTCTACAGATGAGAGATCAAAATATTTATTTATGATTTAATGGACGCCCTCATTCATAACTAGATATGAATTATGAGAATTCATTAGTATTCAAATCACTGGCGCAGACATTAATAAGCCATAACAAACCATTAAACAAATCAAAAATTTCGTCTAATACAACATTAGATTCACATTTAACCTAATATTAGTATCTATAATAAGACATGTGCTTGTAATATTTCAAAGGATCATGAACAATGCTAGTTACGACACGTGTTAAATAATTACAGAGATCTTTATTGCCTTTTACTGTAGAAGTTTTTTTAGTGGTAAAGTCCATTCAAAAAATACTGCTCTGAGCCGCTGCTCGAGATCTTAGCGTGGGAGCGTATTATGCTACTAATAACTTTGTATCTTGTTAATATTGTATTATAGTTAGTGTATATTTAATATTTCCATTATTTATGTATAATCTTATATCAGATAATAGTTTTTTATACTGAATAAGTTAACACAATTGAAAAATGATATTGAACAATGGTTAAGTGAAACACTAAAGAAAGCAAAGTAAATGATTCGTTAGTAATTTGTTATGTATAATAGTGATGATTTTACACGAATTTGAATTT